AGGTTTAAAAAGCTATGTAGTAGTTTATTTACTTTTTAAAATAAAATTCAGATTAACTTAATCACAGATATTTTCTTAAAGTACCTAATTGTTTTCATTTGAAACTGTTTAATTTTTAGGTAACTACATTGGTTTTGAATATATTGTTGAAGAAATGTGACCCATGTACTTAACTTGTGAAAAAGCTTTCATTTAATCAAAGGTCTTACTGGAATCACAAAAAATATTTCTCTTCTGATAGACAAGTGATGTTAAAGAATTAAAACTTAAATATTTGTCATATAATTCTATGTTAACTAAACTTTTCTGAGCATAACTTTATATGTACTACTGCCGATATTTGGAGCTGCAACAATAAAGTTATTTAGGCATGACATGTCATTTTATAAATGAAAATACTTATAATAGGTCATCTTATGTTCTAAGATGTAGACGCATAAAGGTAGTCATACTTATGATAATATTGCTGAGATTATCAATGAAATTACTAATCCTATAAAATAAATAACTCTAAATCCTCGTTACCGAGCAATGCTAGTAACTGGAAAGCATTTAGAATATTTTCTCTTCTGTAGTTCATACAGATTAAATTTCTAAGTATGATAATTTAGGGTAAATTGGTTTGGAAGCGTGATTGTGTTTGATAATTCAGATAATAGGAAGATGTGCTCATTACAATGGTTCAATAGTTCTGAAAGTTACAAGTGAATAGATTAGCCAGAGCACATGACTTATGTATACCATACACTGAATCTTATAGCAACTGTAGATACTTCTAAAATTTCTCATTCCTATAATAAAATATCAACTTCAACTTTCAAAAAGCTAAATTCGTTTTGGAACCTATTGAGTAGAAGCACTGTCGCTTCTGATAAAATAGAATATGTATGCAATTGTAAATTTCCGTTCCCATACTAACTAGATGGAACTCTATGTTCTTTGCTGCTAAAAAGTAGTTTCTTATAAAGATAAACTTATATCTATATTTGATGATTTGAAATTAAGTAAACTTACGTTAAACGAATGGTCATTTTAGAGGAATATTGTTGTGTAATGAACCATTAGCTGTTTCCCTTGACAATTACAGGGTGAAAAAACATGTTTTTGGGTTATGTTATTCCCACAATAATTGCACTGAGATTAAAGTTACTTAATTTAACAAGTTTGGTGTTGTGGCATTATCATTGTTGATAGTTATTAGTCTAGAAAAAGATTTCCATTCGTATTTAATCTGAACATGTCAAAAGCAAAGCTTATATATTGTCATCAATAAGTCATCCAAAATTTAAATTTAATTGTATTCCCGTAAGATTTATGTCAATTTGTAAATTATTTTATCTGAATACAATTCATCATTTACAAATTTAGATTCAAACACAGACTTGGAACAATTGATAATGATGATGATGATTTTATAATATTCTTAATGAAAATAATTCTGAACCATCTACTTCTGCATCAACAAACATTGCTAATGTGCAGTTTTGTCTTACTTAGATTCAAAGAAAAGAACTGAACATTTAAACTCTTATCTATTGTAAACATGTATTTCTTAAATATAATACAACATTACCATCTTCTGCTCCTGTGGAACGCTTGTTTAGTTGTGGGTCTCAAATTTAACTCCCAGGCGTAACAGACTAAGCGACAAACATTTGAAATGCTTTTATGTTGTAGGTGTTTCCTTTTAAATAATAATGATCCGACTACAATAATGTTTCAAATCTTTGATATTCTTCTTGTATTATAATAAGTTTATGATTTGGTTTATTAAAATGTAGTTATATATGTATTCTGTTTTGTTAAGTTCTATGAAATATAACTATATTATTATAATATAGTAATACTATTACTAAAGACTAAAGTATTAGATTTTTATTTTAAAAACAAAAATTGCTTATTATTTTTATTTTATAAGAATTTTTTTACTTATTGCAATACATAAATGTTATTATATTATGCTTATATTTGTTATTATATTTGAGGAAAAATAAAAAAAAAAATATTAGCATAGAGTTTGTTTATTTATTAGTTATCTATTGCCTATTGTCTATTACTTATTAGTTATTAATCATTACTTAATCGTTACAATATTGTTACTGGAATTTTAAATACTGAATATTTAAATACCATTATTATAATTGTTTGTTACACTTAAAAAAATAACATTTGACTTCAGTAATCTTTTTAATTTAATTTATTTTAAACGTGTTCAATAGTAAAACGATAACGATTTACTAATATTATTTATTAATATATCATACTATATTTATTTAGTTATAATATTTAAATGTGTTATATAATAAATTTGTTATATAATATATACTTTATGCAATTTAGTTTTGTGATAAAATAATAGCTACCTTTAAAAAAAATTTTCATCTTTTTTTTTATCTGGATAATAAATGCTAATTTTTTATCTTTATCTAGATAATTAAATTCTTATTTATCTTTTATCTTAATCTAGATAACTATTCCAGCAATTATCTTTTATCTTTATCTATATAATTAAAAAATTATCTTTATACAACACTGATCATACTAAATTAATTAGATACCTAGTGTAATTCAACATTCAGTAAAAGCGGCGGTGTAGTTAAAAATTGTTGGGGGGTTGATATAGACCTTGTAGACCCCCTGGATAAAATATTATCAAGATTCACTTTTCCTAAAAAAGCTGAATAATTTTATTAACAACAAAACGTATCCTCTGAAAATCGATAACAAATGCATTGTAGCGGTCAGTTGATATAGATATTAAACTGATGATTAGGTCTAGAATTTATATGCAACAGTACCTATGTTTTTTTTACAACTTTTGATTATCATTTTTCAGTTTTGTTTAGGAATTACTTCACGATGAGGTAAATCATGGTGTTTTTAATTATTTTAAATAATTTTCATTTTATTTTTTGTGTATTCAACTATAAAAACACAAAAAAATGTGTATTTTACTGTGTATTGTACTCGTGTTACAGTATGCATTGACACAGTTCAAAACTACCTATATAAAAAGTTAAGGTCTAACAGAAGATCGTTCAGTTTTGAAAATTTAAATAGATAACTATGTAATTGTTTTGTGTAATACATTTGAATAGCGTAAATAGTTAATATTTTGTTAATATTATTTATTTATTTATTTATTTTTTTTTTTTTAGTTTATACTTCATTTTTTTTTTTTTTTGCATAAATAATATTAATTGCATTTTTTTTTTTGTTTACATACCTACTATTAATAAACCAAATGCATATTTCACAATTTTATTTTGCATATTAATCCTAGCCCTACTGATGATTTATATCCATCTAGGTGATTAATGTCTGCTACTGACTAAGTAGTCAAAGTAAATATTTTAATAAATAATGAATAAAATATTAGTAATTTGTTCTATAACCTAGTTAATAATTATCTTATTATGCCACTGTGGATAAAACATAAATTTTGCAGTCGCTTTTATATTAAAAGTGTAGAAAAATAATGATAACTAGGGTTAGGATGTTTATGCACTAAAAAACAGCTAAACATGTATGAAAAATTTGAAAAATGTGTATTAAAAATAAAGAATTGTAGACAAAAAAACGCAATGAATATATTGAGATAAATTTAATTATCAATAGAATATAAACAAATAGGTACTATTTATAATATGTGCTAGTTATTATCTATTACATTTTTGAATTTTCTTACTTACTATATAAAATTTAAAAAAAAAATACATTTTAAAAGATTTGCATTGAATAATTATTATTTGTTTTAAATTTTTCGTTATAAATCTTCGTCTATTTGGTGTTACTATGTTTTTAAATCTATTAAAATTTTTAAAATACTTTGCAAAATACAGATAATTAAACTTATATTAGATTTAGATAATAAAACATAAAATTACAGTATTTTTCAGTATTTTGCATTCAAAGCCAACAAATATGTACTTATAAATAAAATATGGTAAAATATGCAATAATATGCAAGATAAAATTTTATATTTTGAATATAAATACTACGAAACACATTTTTATACTAGAATGGAAGCTATTGGACAATCTAAAAAAAATATGCAAAATCATAAACATCCTTACTCTAATAACATAAAACATTTATATAAGAGTTGAAAAATAATAACCAATGCAATTAAGCTTTTAGTTTATATAATTCAAATTTTATACAAGTAATAATTTTAACTCATAACCTAAATTATTTAAATAACATAATATTTTTAAACAATAAAAATAAAAATTAATAACTATAGACTATAGTAAATGAGTTAACCTAGACTAAAAATACAAAATAATTAAAACATACATTTTATTAAGTTGTACAATATAGATAGTATATTTTTTTAATAATAAGATATTAAACTACTTAATGTTAACTATATTAAAGATTATAACTAATGCATACTACATAGAATATTATTAAATATTATTTATTAACTAACAATTTTGTTAGTTTTGTACAAGCCTGGGCAAGTTTATGATAATTTTTAACTAAGTGAAGTTAAATTGATAGAACACATTTTGAAAAATTAAAAGTTAATAGTTAATCTAATTTTTTTTTAAACTCAATTAAGTTATATGGAAATTTTCAATTAACTTATTAACTTAAGTTAAGTTATTATTATTATTTTTTTTTTTAATATATAAAATAGCCAGTAAATAGTTTGAAATTATAAAATTTATAAACATTATTAAGCCCAAAAAATAGATTTACTATACATAAAATAACTAAATTTGGAAAATTAAAATACAGGTGGAAAGAATTAAGTAGTAGGTATTAAAAGATAAATAAAATAAAATAGGATTTTTTAATTTATTAAAACAAATTTTATACATTTTTAAACAAGTAAATGATATCAAAATGGAATTTTTTTTTTTTAAATGTACTTAATTTGGGTATGATTTAAAGTAACTCATTATTTATTAAGTTACAAAATAAAAATCAGTTAAGTTAAAAATTAAGCTATTGAAAATTAATTTAAAAAAAGTTAAGTTAAAATTAACTTAACTTTAATTTTTTAACTCATTTATGCCCAGGCTTGGTTTTGTATAAGAATAACTTCAGATTGCTCACATTTAAAAGGTTCTATAGCTTCTACAACTATCGCTCCAGACAAAACATCATATGCACATCTATTTTGATTGGCTTCTGCTGTAATAAAAGGTAGTGGAAACAAGAATGTATAAAATAAATTTTTAACGAATGAACGAATTATTGCTCGTTTCCAACCAATATTGCTACCAGGAATTAAAGCAATGACATCTGCTGGCTGACCTCTTATCGAAAATAGCTTATCAGCTCGAACAACTGTAATATTAAATAGAATTTTACCAATTGTTGCTTTTCCTTGATATATTGTATTTCCTTGTAGACAACATACCTAAAAATTTAAAGTATTTAATTATGATATTATGAATATTTTAATTTAAATATATAAAAATTATGTTTTGGTTAAAATCATTTTATAAGTAACTATAATTTTAAAATTACCTCATAAAGACAAACCATTGATCGATGTGTTAATTCTATAAGCAATAACTCTGAAGATATTTCTGCTGCTGCAGCATCAACATCTTCTCGTATAATCACTAAATTTAATTTAGCTAAATCACTAAAAAAAGATAACTTATTTTATGTATTAAGTAAATTATGATTATTCTAGATGAAGTACAAGGAGCACAATTTATGGTTTATCAACGCGTTATTATTTTGATTACTATTATTAAATATACACATTTACAAATCAATTTGTTAAAGATATTTAGTATTATATTTTTTTAAATTAAGTAATTAAGTTTAAGTATTAATATATTTATACATTTTATTTGTAATTTGATTTAAGTTTAAACTAAATATTTTAATTAAACTTCATTAATTATTGATTCCACAGCTTTAAATAACAAATAATAAAAATAGTAATAATAATAATAGTTTTAGATTTAGTTAATAGACACTAGGAAAATATAATTTATTTAATTTTAACTATTTTATATTGTTTGTGCTCGTATGGTAAATGTATGATTGCAGCATGTGCTCTACCACAAATCTATGAAGTGAATGATTTTAATTAAATGAATTAATTCTTATTTACATTATATTTAGGCTTAAATTTTAACAAAAAATTTAATAATTTGATTATAATTAACTTTTTTTATTGATCCTAATACATTTAAGTTACAATTGTCATTATTTATTGTTTCCATTTTGTTTAAATAAACTGTAGTACATAATATAATATATTCAAATTTCATTATTATACTATAAAGCAGCGGTTCTCAAACTTTTTATTTCGCGTACCACTTAAGTATATTATCAATCAGTTGCGTACCACTGAAGATTAAGAAATCAATTAATTAAGAAGACCATGCGGCCTTCCGCAGTTCCGCGTACCATCATGTAGTATTTCACGTACCACAGTTTGAGAACCGCTGCTATAAAGTGTTATGAAACGTTATTATTAGGGCTCGGATGTTTATGCACTTAAATCTATTGTAATATGCATACATTTATATACTAAAAAATTACCCAAAATATGCAATTAAAATATGAAACCATAAAATATGCAAAAATATGCAAAATAAAAATAGTATTATTTGATTCAGTATAACATGAATTAAAATTGAATCCAGATTAAATTTATCCAATTTAATGATAATTAAATTGGATAAATAGAAAAAATGTGCAATTTCATAAACATCCAAACCCTAATTACTATTTGTGAATGAAATCATGATAATATGCAGTTATTAAGTACAAAGTTTTAGATAATTTCCAAGATACATAAATAAAAAAAAAACATTCATTTAGCAGTATTTATTTAGCTACACCTATAACCATCAAAAAATTTTAAAGAAATTTCAGTAAGTGGAGTTCTTAGTGATGATTAAATTATTATTATTGATTAAAAATGTAATATCATAAGATACAACAAGTGTTAAGGTGAGCAGTGACTAGTGAGATAAGTGACCCAGTTTCTGTACCCTGTCAAGATTTTTTGTTTTTTATTTGATTACAGTATATTGATTTAAATTTTTTTATACTAATAATCATTTATTTTAATTACTTTAAACTAAAATAAGTTCTACATCAGATGCTATTTAAATATTATGTGTGGATTATCCCTACTTGATAACTCAGACAAAGAATTTGATAAAATTTATTTAAAAAAATATAACAGTCAAACTACATTGTTTTAAATAGTACAATGCAAATTATACTTACACTTCAAGAATTGAACCTAGTAGAATGTAAGCAATTAAGAATTTAAAAAAACTTAATATGACAAAATCAACAAATTCAGCTCCAAAACGCTTCCATAAAGACGGTATCTTGCATTTCATTCCTAAATAAACCACATTAAAGAATAAAAAAATTTGTTATTTGATAAAGTATAAAAATATTTCATACCCGTAAACTGATTAAGTTCAACAGATGGTGTTTCAGGTATAGCATCAGGCACAACTTTAGGAACTTCATTAGCTTTTTTTAAAACTTCATTGTAGTATTTTTGTAAAGATTCTTGTTGTAATTTATTGTAATATAACTGATAACTGTTGACAGTAGTCAACCATAAACGCAGTTTGTCAAAGTATTCTTCTCTAGCTTCTTTATTAGTCAATTGGGTATTTTTAGAGTCCTTTGATGGTGATTTATTTTCTGAACTTGTCATGATTCTTTAGAATATGTAGGTACTAATGTCCAATCTAATAACTCTCGATACTTCAATAATTACTAATTAAACAAAAATATTGAAATAAATTTTTATTGATTTCTTGGTAAGTTTGATGTAATTTAAAAGTATTATAAGCAAAACGTAATAGCTGAAAAACTATTTTATTTTCTCATCATATTTTTATATTACATGAGTTGATAACAAATTTGTGATAAGAAAATACTTACATTTAGTATTACGTTTGCAAAGATGATTGAATTATAGATATTATGGAATTCAAAAATGTTCAAAATCTATTTGTTGAACAAATAGTTAATTTATGTATTAGTGCAAAGTTTAGTAGGTAAAAGCATTATTTATATATTAATACGTCTATTTGTTAATTTTTACAACATAAATTGCTACTCGCTGCGTGTCCCACTCTCTCACACACACACACACTATCGCTACGTACTCTGCCATAATATATCGCGTAATGCTGTAGTGTCAACACTGTTTGAAAGGCATAGGCGTGTTTACGGGAGGAACTGGGTGGGCACCCAGTATTGATCCCCCCCCCCCCCCGGCCGACTGTGACAGCAAAACAAAAACATGCCCGGATGAAAAAAAAATGTGCTGTTTGTACTCAGCATTTAGGTAGGTACCTTGTAGATTTTGATCATTTGTTTTATATCGATCAAGAATTGGCAAGAAGCATAAGCTTTGATGATGTCGATGAGTCTTTTAAAGTACGAGTATTAAAACCATATCTAGAGAAAAATGAATTTAAAAGCGCTTTATTTTTATTATTTTATCAACAATTCGATATACCTATTATGTATGTGTTTTTACTTTTTACTTTAGTATTGAATATATTTTTATTGTTTAGCCAACAGTTAGGTATACTTTTTGGTAGGTAATCATCAAAAATATTCCAATTGTTGTGAGTTTTTTAACATGACAAATAAACATTTCTTCGTATATATTATATATAAAAAAAAAAATTAGATCTCAAAACTTGTAATGCCCATTAGGCTACTATACAGGGGCGGACCCAGGGGGGGTTTGGGAGGTCAGCTGACCCACCGTATTTTTTTTTCAGTAAAATGTGGCCTCTCAAAATGACAAACTACATAAATATGTACAATACTACGATAATCAAAAATAGAAATAATATAAACTAATAATATGGTGTTATAAGTAATTTATAAAATGTACACAGACTCAAGAACATTTCTATGAAAATATAATTGTAAATGTATAAATATAAATATAATATATTATGAATATTATGATATATGTGATGTATAGAAATTAGAAAGATATGAAAAACCCATTCAATTTGAATTAATTAATAATATCAAAGTTTATAAGTCAGTTTTAAATTGTATTAAAAAATTAGTTATGACTTATGCTTTATCTCTTTTAGTTATAGTATTTACTATATTAATATATGTAATATAAATAAGGTAAATCGCGAGCGTAGCGAGCGATTTTGTAATGTACAGTTGATTGAACCTTCTACACAGTGGCCTCTCATAAGTGAGGCAGACCCACAGTACTAAAATCCTGGGTTCGCCAATGCTACTATAGTTTGAAAACGTTTATGTTGAAAAGGTCAGGGTCCAGAAATATTTAAAACATAAAATACTACTTGTTTATACAGATATAAACGATATACTTATCACCTATAATATAAGTCCCACCTACGATGTTCTAATAGCTATATTAAAATATTTAAATTGTATTGGAACAAATTGTTTTTACAAGTATTTGATGTTCACATTTTATCAACATTTTGTAGTGAACAGTTCAAACTGCAAATAAATCATTTGATCTAAAATATCAAGAAACAATATTCGTAGAGATTTGAAACGTTTACAGATACTATAATTATATTGATAAAAAAAGTAGGTACGTAAATACTAAAATTGTATATTTTTATTATAATAATTATTATTGTCAACGGTCAACTATTCATGATATGAGATTTGGCTTTTCAACTTATTATTATATAGTGCATATATTAATTATTTATACACAATAGTTATATGTGTGATAATAATAAAGAATGAAAACCTAAGTATAAATCAGTTTTTTGTTTCAGGAAAAATCTGATACCAATTTATATGTAATAATATGTTTTAACTATGATAAAATCTGTTTTTTTGACATGAAAAAAATTTTCCTCCCCGGCGGGGAATCGAACCCCGGTCTCCCGCGTGACAGGCGGGGATACTTACCACTATACTACCGAGGACTGTGATGAGATCAGTAAATTTAATGTTATTTATGTTTACTACATTTTTTAATATCACATAGGTTTAATAATTAGCGCAATATTGTATAATCATTCTATTATATACTTAGTTATTATTGTAATTTTATGATTCTTAGGTACTTATTATTAGGTACCTCAATGTAGCCCATTATAACATATTCTTCTCATGTATATACTTGAGAATAAATAAATAATTACTTACTATAATTAGGTACTTAAATGTATGCGATGACTGTAATATACAATTTATAAATTTATTTTTAAACGTCAGTATTAATTGTGATGTGAAAAGGCCTATGTTTCATTTTCATATGGAGTTAATTACCGGATATGCGTGAAATTAAAATTCACGCGATTTTGTGAATTTATTTCGCCTGCATTTGTGGCTGGAGCGTAACACATTAACGAGAGATATTAAGAGGACGTCGCGCCCGCATGTGTTGTCTCCGTCTTACACACGAACGCATAGTAAATGTTCGTTCACCAGTTTCAATATTGTGCTTTTTAATTTTGATATTTAGAGTGAATTGACCTATTATCAAACTTTTAGGTAAGAACATTCGCTGTGTTCTCTCGTTGGTTGTTTATGATATTTTAATTCTGAAGTCATGAGTATGAAAAATAAAAATATTTGATAATGTTTATAACTCACTTAAAAATTAAAATATCGTACGTGTTTAAGACAGAGACAACAAGCGCTTGTACGAAGTTTCCCTGTATTTAATTAAAATACAGGTGAAAAAAAAAATGCGGTCATCTGAATTTTTGTTCAAGTTCAAATCTGACAGCGCTAGAATGTCAAAAAAATAAAAAGTTAAAATGTAGTATATATAAAACAATAATATTGTTAACATTTCTAAGCGTGTATGTATGTTTGTGTGTGTGTGTGTGTGTGTGTGTGTGGTTCAGCGTGGGAGGCATGTGCAGGTCAGTATTTGTCCTAAAGAATTTCTCAGAAAAAGAGATATTATATTTAAACCTTATATAATGATATATTTTTAAATGAATAATGTATATACTAATAAAAACCAAGTAAATGTTACAGTTTTGAAATATACATTTATTTTCTACCCAACCATAAAAAATTCTCAAGTTTTATATTTTTATAGTCCACCTTACGAGATAACCTAAATACGGAATAATAAGTCTTTATGTATAGTTATATATATATATATATATACAAAAAAATCCAAATACTTGAAATTTAGAAGGCACAATCGGTGAACGCTGTGCATCAGAGATGTTAAATTATTGCTATAAGCATTGAGCACAATAGGTGAAGAATATAAGCCGAAATACACGTGTGGGATCCCTACTGTGAACACATTATTCTATAGAAGACCCAAAAGAGAAATCGCCGTATGGACCCTAACACAATAATACTTGGTGCGTCCTTTTCGATCGGTCCTGCGATTGATTTACGTCGAATGCTGGTATAGTGTTGTATCGACATAATATTATTTTTTTCCCTTCCTAATAGAATTAACGATGGTCATATTGTGTGCCTTTCAGGGTTGTCATTATTATTAATATTATTATATACTCTCATATAATAGTTAAAAGATAATATATTTTAAAAAAATGTCATTTTTAACTTAACGAAGGTTCGCGTTACAATGGGTTATAAACGACAGTACATTAAATCGGGGAAAATATATAAAACAATTATCTTTATAGAAATGCCTTTTCCATACGAAGATCGATTATAAGTTGTTTGCAATGTTAGAATGGATAAAACAATATTACCTTCTAGTTATATTTTATTTTAGTGGAAATGACCATTATCGTGTAGTGATCAGTACACAACCGGCGTCACCAGGTTTCCTCATAAGCACCTGCATGACCAAGTAGAAGGACAGACAATAATATGGGTATTGTTAGTCGTGAAATAAAATATAGTAATATTATGTTATTCTCTAGAATTTAAAAGGAAAAACACATTTTCATTCCTGAACTATTTCATATTTAATATATAAAAATAAATTCAAAATCCACAGAGTAATCATTGGTTGAAAAAGGTCGTCCCCCTGTGTATTGAAATCACTGATGGTCATTTTGTTATACGTCGAGAGAAAGTTAAAAGTATTTTTGTTAAAACAATAATTCAAGTTCGAGATGACTTTTTAAATTAGCAAATATAATAACTTTTTTGCATTGTCTTCTCCGTATAACAGACATTTTTTTATAAGTTCTAACTGGTTATATTCTAAGAAATATTGTATGTAGGCAATTCGTTATGTCTACTACGATAAGGCTTGTTAATGTGTGCAAAATAAATTTAAATTGTTGTATGTACGATCATACCTCGCCCGAGAACGAATTATTAAATTAAGATATTAAATTAAAATTAATTATATAAATTGTTTAATAATTGTGTACTCGATAGGGTCAGACGGTCAGGGTGGTCTATCCACCGGAACACCGATATTTTTTCGGTGCACCATTATATATATTTTTATGAAAAGGGACCGATTATCTCCCGACACTGAACAATACTGTAATTGTAATCGTGCATCCATAGAAAATTTTGATGTTAATAAATACAATGATAATACTTAAAATATATACCTATGATATACATATAGTTATTGACTATACTAATGTGGTAAACTTTAATAACTTTAAATTAAATAGTTTATTCTAACTTTTAATTGAATAATATTTTATTATTGATGAAAGTATTAAAATATATACTGATTTGTATGTCAATTGAGTGCTAACAGAAATTTATTTAGAGATTTATTTAACACTGTAAGACCTTTATTAAGTTATTATGTTATTTGTTAGCTTTAAAAAAAGGTACAATTATGAATTTTATGGGGGAAAAAACTAAAAAGTAATCTATTTTTAACTAAGTTAAGAAATTAACTTGTAACTTTTAAAAGTTAAAAAAAATAAAAGTAACTTTTAACGTTAAATTTAACTTATAATTTTCTATTTTAACGAGTTCAAAAAACACTTACCTTGTCCAGCCTTGCAGATTTGTATAATTAAAGTTGCATTCTATTGCACAAAAATAAATGTTGAAACGCTCACATAAAGTATT